CCTCCGCCGGTCCCCCGAGTGTAAGGCGGCATACACACGCGCACACGCGCACACACACACACACACACACACACACACACACACACACACACACACACACACACACACACACACACACACACACACACACACACACACACACCACACACACACACACACACAACATATATATATATATATATATATATATATATATAATATATATAATATATATATATATATATACACGAGAACTTGTTTGTGCACATCATAAATGACGCAATGTATGTCTTGATGTCAGAGATTGAGCAAGGACATCACTCACCACGCCGGGACAATTTGGCTGAACATGACACCGCTCCGGAAGTCATCTGGACATAATCTTTATGACATAATTTTTGTAACCAATATTACTCTCACTATCACCATCGTCAACCACTACCATCATCATCATCATTACGATCATTATCATCATCATCATCATCACCACTACCACCATCATCATCATCATCATCATCTCATCATCAGCATCATTATCATCACATCATCACCACCACCATCATCAGCATCTCATCATCACCATCATTATCATCACATCATCACTACCATCATCATCATCATATCATCATCAGCATCATTATCATCACATCATCATCACCACCACCATCATCATCATCACCACCATTATCATCACAGCATCATCATCACCATTAATCATCAGTGTCACCATCATCGTCAGCATCATCATCTTCACTGTTATCTTTATCATCACCATTGGCAAAAACATTATCACAATCTTTTTTAGACACTCCACTAGTTTGCAACCTACAAGGAGCTGCCACAACTACTCTTGCCTAATCACCAGATAAGTTCGGTCAAGTCAAGTCAAGCCCTGCCAAGTCAACTAAAATCCTGTCAAGCCATGCCAACTCCTCTCCCTGTCCATCCAGCCCTGTCAAGTCCTGTCAAGTCCACTTAACTCCTGTAAAGTCCAGCCATGCCATGCCAAGTCCACTCAGGTCCTGTCAAGCCCTATAAAGTCCTGTCAAGCCTTGTCAAGCAAGTCCTGTCAAGTCCTGTCAAGTCATTCCACTCTAGGCTTTGACGGGTCGGGCTCAAAGCGGTTGAATTTTAGGTTAATATTTGAAAGGATAACATTGGTGCAGCAAAGTCGATTCTTGTTGTGTAAATAGTCTTGTTACTCCAATTTCTTCTGACTGTATTGCTATCTCTCTGTGTATGTAAGGGGGGGAGTGTATATGTGTGTATATGTGTGTGTTTGTGTGATTATGATTTTTTTAATGTTTCTGTGTGATTTTTTTATCATTGTTTACTTGAGTGTATTTGTATCTCTGATCGTTTGTTTCATTGTGCGTTCGTATATGTGCATGTATGCGTGCGACCTTGCTATTTATTATTACTTTTGTTTTGCCTATTAAAGGGACACGATCATTTTCTTTCCCTTCACATCAAAATTAGTATTACTTTTTACTCTTACATTTCTTGACGTTTATTAATGTTTTGCCTTTTGTTTACTTTGTTTTTACTTTCTCTCCTTACATGTGTTTCTGTAATAAAGATAGAATCTTAACATGTGTCTGAAATTAAGGTTTTTGTAGCAAGGTCTTCGTTTTCCCTCTCTTTCTTTCTCTTTCTCTCTCTCTCTCTCTCTCTCTCTCTCTCTCTCTCTCTCTCTCTCTCTCTCTCTCTCTCTCTCTCTCTCTCTCTCTCTCTCTCTCTCTCTCTCTCTCTCTCTCTGTCACTGTTTCTCCATCTTCATCTTTCATTTTCATCAGCATCCCTTAAGTCAATTGCAGTTTCTTATTCGCTTCAAATGATAATAATGATAATGATGATAAAAACAGTGATTATGATAACAACAGTAACAGTGATAATGATAGTAATGATAATGATGGTAATGTTAATAATTATCATTAATATTACCACCATCATCATTATCACTACCACAATCCTCATTAATATTATTAGGAGTAGTAGTTGTATCATCATCAATATCATTGCTATTATCAGTATTATTATCATCATTAAATTTATTGTTACTGTTATTATTGTTATTGTCATTATTATTATTAATTATTGTATTTTATAGTAATGGATGATAGTAACGTTAATATTTTATCAATGATGATAATAATGATATTTATAATAATAATGTGGAAGTTAATGGTAATATTACTAATGATGATGATTACGAATATAAACGATAATATGATGGACGATATAAGATATTGTATAAATGATAATAATGGTAATGTAAATGATAGAAATATACTGATGCATTATAGTCAATAATAATGAAAGTAAGAATTAATACTAGTATGAAAGATGATAATCGTAAGTACGATAATGATAACGATAGTGATAGTACTGAGTAACAGTAATATAATAGTAATAAAAAATGATTGATTAGTAATAAGAATAAGTATTAGAAAACACTCAGCAGACATAATGATGTGCATAATAATTGATAATAATAGTGATAATAATGATGGATATAAATAATTGTAAACGCATCATGATGACCAATAATGACAGTGATGATAATAGTAAAGACAAAAAAGCAACAGTTTCTGAATTAAATATCTACTTTTATCATCTTCCTCTCTTGCACACGCATCCTATTTCGCAATTCTCCTTTTTTCACCAACGCCCGGAAAGAAATAGAGAAAAAAATAATAAAATAAAAGACAACTGCATTAACGAGCGGCTTCGACTCAGCTCAGTGTTCTTGTCAGCATTAAAGCCCGCGTTGGCACCTGCTCTCCGCTGAGTTGCCAACAACTCAAATAGACGGTACTTAATGCGATCAGCTGTTTATACTACCGTGAGCGACAATGCTCTGGGAACACGGTCGTCGTGTTATTTTTGTAATAGGCTTCGCTACCTGGTAGATCAGGTTACTTTATTTATTTTCGCCTTTCTTTCTCTTATTTGTTTATTCTTATTTCATATCATTTTTTGAGACAAGGTTTTCAAAAGTTTGATGCTGTTACTATTTTTTCCATCCACTGTTTATTTATTTGTTTGTTTATTTTAACATTAATTTGCTTATTTATTTGTTTATTTTACCATTAATTTACTTATATGTTTGTTTGTTTGTTTTTAAGGATGTTTCTTATTTATTTAATCATTCTTTTGGTCTTCTGTCTGCCCCCAACAGTATATTTCTTTCTGCCTCTCTCTCTTCCTTTGTCTCAGTATCCATCTCTCTCTCTTTGTCTCAGTATCTCTGAATCCATCTCTCTCTCTCTCTCTCTCTCTCTCTCTCTCTCTCTCTCTCTCTCTCTCTCTCTCTCTCTCTCTCTCTCTCTCTCTCTCCCTCCCTCCCTCTCCTTCCCTCCTCCCTCCCTCCCTCCTCCTCCCTCCCTCCCTCCCTCTCCTCTCCTCCCTCCCTCTTTCCTCTTTCCCTCCCTCTTTCCCTCTTTGCCTCTTTTGCTCTCTTTGCCTCTTTCCCTCTTTCCCTCTCCTCTTCCTCTCCCTCCTCCTCTTCCTCCCTCTCTCTCCCTCTCTCCCTCTCTTCTCCCTCCCTCCTCTCTCTCCCTGCTCTCTTTCCCTCTCCCTCCCTCCCTCTCTTTCCCTTCCTTCCCCTCCCTTTCCTTTTCCTTTTTCTTTCCCTCTCCCTCAAGTTCATCATCATCACCATTAATCAGATTACAAAAATCCTCATCACCCTTGCCACCATCACCACCACAATCATCAACATTTTTACGTTATTGCATTACCGTTATAATTATTTTATTATCATTATTATCCCCAATACTCCAAACGATAGCAAAAGACTCTGAAAACAAAGAGAAAAAGCAAATAGGTCACGTGATCTAGTAGTCTCCAGCCTTACTCCTTCTTGCATTTGCTTGCTTTCCGCCGACCAGGAAGCAGAGGTCTGGTGGAAGTGCATTTGGTGGGGAGAGAGTGCGTGTGGTCGGGGTGGGGAGTGCATGCGGTGGTGGTGTGGGGAGGGAGAGGCTTGTGGACGGGGGGAGGGGGGGGTAAGAGGGAAGGGGTGTTTGTGGGATCGAGTGTGGCGGGGTGGAGAGGGGTGCTTGTGGGCCGGTGTGGCTGGGGAAGGGGATCTGGTGGGGAAGGTGTGCTTGCGACGGGGGGTAGGGGGAAGGGAGGGCTTGTGGTGGGGAGGGGGGGTAGGAGGAAGGAAGGGTTTGCTTGGAGCGTTCCCGAAGCTGCCTCGCCTCCTAGGGCTCGGGCCGGCTGGGGAATGTGAATTATTTTTTCGCTCCCCCGCTAGAAAATGCAGAATGGAGTGGAGAGGGGAGGAGAGGGAGGGGAAGAATTGGAGGAGAGGGACACGAGGAAGGGAGGGAAGGAGGGGAAGATGGGAGGAGAGAACAAGAGGAAGGGATGGAGAGAGGAAGAATGGGAGAAGAGGGACACGAGGAAGGGAGGGAGGGAAAGAATAGAATAGAGAGACATGAGGAAGGGAGGGAGACAGAAAGAATGAGAGAGACACGAGGAAGGGAAGGGAGAGGGAGAAGGAGGGAACCAAGGAGGAGGAGGCGATGGAATGGGAGGAGAGAGACAGAGAGAGGAGAAGAGGGAAGGAGGGAGAGGACAGGGAAGAGAGAGAAATAGAGAAGGACAAGGAGGAGAGGCGCAGGGAGAAAAGAATGGGAGGAGGAGAAGAGAAGAGCAGGAGGAAAAAGAGGAGGGGAGTGAGAATGGACACGAGGGAGTAGAGAGGGGAGATAAAGAGCAAGAGAGAGAGAGTAAGAGTAAGAGAGAACGAGAGAGAGGATAGGAGAGGAAGAGAACGAGAGAGACAGAAACAGAGAGCGATGGCGGTCGAGCGGGGGTTAGAAGAGCGAAAGAGAGCGGGAGGAACAGACAACGCAAGAAAAAAAAATCCCAAGAATTCATAGATCTGGTTTTGACATTTTGCAGGAGAAAAATAAAACACACCTCATGTTTCGTCTCTGACACTAATACGATTTATTCTTTCTTGACGAAAATGCCTAACCGATTAAACAGAATTAGCCAGACCAGCCGACCGCAGGAAACGATAGGTCGTCTCCGAATCCGAAGCCAAGGGCGGAGGAAGGATTGTGGATTGGAACTTGGGTCATGTTTCGACATAGGACTCGTGTGCGGCGCGGGGTTTAAAGGGCATGGCGCAGAGGCTCCTCATAAGGGGCTGGTCCTGCTAAACATTACGGGCCGCGTGTTTACACCTCCGCCGCCTCATGAAAATGCAATTGCCTGGAATGTTTCCGCAAAAAATGATAATAATGTATACACAACAGTACACAGGGGCGTGCGTGAGCTGGCACACCACGCGCTATACACACACATACACACACGCACATACCACACACGCACCGCCCACACCACACACACACACACACACACACACACACACACACACACACACACACACACACACACACACACACCACACACACACACACAGACAGACAAATCCACACACAAACAAACAAACAAACACACACACAAACAAATCCACACAGACACACACACACACACACACACACACACACACACACACAACACACACACATACATACATACATACATACATTACATACACACACACACACACACACACACACACACACACACACACACACACACACACACACACACACAAATCCACACACACACAAATCCACACACACACAAACAAACAAACACACACACACAAATCCACACACACACACACAGACAAATCCACACACACACAAACAACAAACACCACACATACACACACACCTATTCATATCAAATACACAGAAACAACACACTGCACATTATGGCAATAGTTCATCCAGATTAGCAGTAACCTGAGACTCATCCCGCTTAGGCCCCGGATATCAAATGAATGAATGAGTTAACCGCAGCTAACAGGGCCCCTCTTCTCACCTCTGGCTCTCCCTCCCCATCTCTTCTTCTCCCTTTCTCCATTTCCTCATATCTCCTTCCTTCTTTCTCTTTTTTTCTCCGTGTTCCGTTTTCATTCTTCTTCTTCACTATCTTTTTTCCTTCTTTCACTTTCCTTATCTCTCCTTTCCCAGTCCTCTTCCCCTTCTCTCCATCCCTATCCTTCTCCATCCTTCCTTCCCCTCTCCTCCTCCACTTCCTCCTCCTCCCCCATCCCACATCCCTTCCCTCGTCTCCCTTCCCCATCCTCCATCCCCCTTTCCACTCCCCCCCTCCACCCTTTCCTTCATCCCCCCCCTCCTTTCCCCCCCCTCGGCCGGAATTCCAAATAAAATGATATTAGTATGATGATCTCAATCAAAAGACCATAATCATCATTAGCAAGTAGCTATTAGAGTTTATGAAAAAGGTTATCAAGGCAAACAGAAATAATGATATGGATAATGATTCAATGGTAATGATCATATGAAACGACAATGTTGATAACAATCACAAATATAATGAGAATGAGGATTATGATACTGATTATAGGATGATGATGGTGATAGAAGAAGGATGATAATGGAGACTGATTAAGAAAATTAATCGTAATATTAAAGCCATTAATACAGATGATGATGAAGATGATGAGTGATAATGACGACAGTATAATTCAAAAGTACAGTGATATTAGGAATCGTAAGTGATGATAGATACCAGTAATGATAACTGTAATAAACGATGAAGAATTATGATAAAAGTCATAAGGTAATGATGTTTATAAGAAAACGGGATAAATTTGTAGTGGTATAACCAATCAAATTCTTATTATAATTGTGATAATGATGATAAGTGCTGAAATACTAGTAACGATGATAATGATCATAGTAGCATCATTATCATTATCATTACTATTCTATCTTTATTTTCATCATCGTTATTGATATCATTTTTATGAAAGTATTAGTAAAAATCAGGGATCTGATAATGATGATGGACATGATGGAGATAATAGTAATGATAACAATGAAATACCAATAATAGCGAAGATAAAGAAATCGTGGTGACAAGAGTAATGGCAATAATAAACGTAATGAAAACGATGATGTTGATAATGAATATGATGATAGTGTTACTGTAGTTGATATATTACAATATTGTTAATGGTGGTAAACGATTTTTTAAGATAATACAATCACATATATATGGTATTATGCTTGAGAACAAATGAAAAGAACAATGCCAATAACTCCACAATTAATCAACTAATTTTCAAGAATTAAAAAAGCCTATTTGAAATGTAGAAAAAAACGAATGAATAGGTAAAATAGTAATAAGAGATAATGGTGGTAAACGATTTTTTAAGATAATACAATCACATATATATGGTATTTTGCTTGAGAACAAATGAAAAGAACAATGACAAAAACTCCACAATTAATCAACTAATTTTCAAGAATTAAAAAAGCCTATTTGAAATGTAGAAAAAAACGAATGAATAGGTAAAATAGTAATAAGAGATAATGGTGGTAAACGATTTTTTAAGATAATACAATCACATATATATGGTAATTTGCTTGAGAACAAATGAAAAGAACAATGACAATAACTCCACAATTAATCAACTAATTTTCAAAAATTAGAAAAATCTATTTGAAATGTAGAAAAAAACGAATGAATAGGTAAAATAGTAATAAGAGATAATGTTTTTTTTTTCTCTCCCGCCCCAAAGCTCACTTCCACAGAGCTCCTTCCTTCCCGCAAGCGAGTTTCCCGCTCATTACGCCGGTGCGCCAGCTGGTGACCTGGCCGTGTGCACCAGGTGGCCCAGCTGGCTCCGTCCCGCTCTCCTGATGGCGACCGGCGCGCCCTAGTCGTCTCCGTCCCAGTCTCGCTACGACCCCTGAATGGCCGGCTTTCCCCTCTCCATCTCTCCTCCGCCTCTCTCTTACTCGCCGTCACATTATCTCTTACCTCTATTCCCTTTCCCCTATTTCCCCTCTCCCGTATGCTGTCCCTCCCTCTTCTCCTCTTCTTCCCTCTCCTCCTTTTCCCTTCCCCTTTCTTCTTTCTTCTTGCTCCCTTCCCCTCCCCTCCTTTCCCTCTCCCCCTTTTGCAATTTCCCTCTTTTTTCTTCCCCCTAATGCTTCCCCTCTCCCTCTTTCCCTCTTCTTTCTTCCTCCCTTATCCTTCTTCTCTCCTCCTTCCCCTCTTCCCCTTTTGCAGTTTCCCTCTTCTTTTTTCACACTAATCCCTCCCCTCGTCTCCATCCCAGACTCGCCACGCCCCCTGAATGGCCGGCTATGACCGTCTCTGTTTTCTCGCCGACTCTTAATCTTGTTCCGCCACCTGTCCCTTTTCCTCGGCTCGGTGTCCTCGGCGATCCCTTCTCCAGCCCTCCGCCCTTCCGTGACCATCCCGGGCCCGGAATCACCAACGCACTTACGATGGTAAAATCACTGGTAACTATAATTACCATGGTAACCAGACAGCGGTGGTATTCACTAACAACTTACCATCGGAGTTACCATGGTAAATATTACCAGTGGTCAGAGCACTGGTAACTTCTGGGAAGACGATGTCATCACGTGTTATCTCGTCAAAAAATCAATATCTAAGCAAAGTATTAGGTTTGTTTTTACACTTAATGTAACTAATATGATGGCAAACACATATCGCAGTGCGGGCATAGTGAAGAAATACAATTTTCACATGAAACTAGCGAGAATAAAATCCACACAAATTCTCGTAAAATTATAGGCCTATATCATACAAAAAAGCATGGAGTCGATAGATAAGTGAACTCTTAAAGAATTCTTCTGACATAATTATTACAGATGATATAGAAAAAAAACTACCTTGCTGATATATAAACTGGCAATTCCAACGTTAAACGAGTATAGCAATTTCTGCGACTGTCGGCATTTTGACAATAAACTCCAAAGTGCATGGGCAAGAATAAGCTTGAAAATATTTCCTTTGACGACAGATAGCGATTACTAAAAATTTTGGTCCGGTTCTTTGTTAAACAATGATGAAAAATGAATCAATCAATAAAAACTGTTTGGACTAATATTAATAATAATAATTATTATTAATGATATATCAATATGTTTGTATTGGTTCCTATCTATACAGTAAATATATATCCCACATGGTGGATATGATCAAATAAATTTATTCATTTTTTCTACAGGTGCTTAAATAGTGGTTTATCTCTGAAGATCATCTTAAAAATCTCGCTGTTTAGTTCTGTTTACATGTTACGGGATTGGCCGAAGGAACCTAAAAGATTATGTAAGGCGCTCGCTGATTGGTGGAATTGCTTTACTAGAGCCCTCTGTTGGCTACCATAAGAATGAGTCGATTTACGATTGCAACTCAGCATATCCAAATTACCATTTCTTCGTGAATCCCAATTTGTTATTACTGGTAAATACAATGGTAAATGACCGCTGGTAAATGCGTTACGATCGTATGTTAATGAATCCGGCGCCCGGTTTCCCTCCCGACCCCTAACCCGGCGTGGTTTCCTCCGCCACTCCGCAAGCAGTCTGCCCGCCCTGCTTCCCCGCCAGGAAGGCTCCTTTGATTCCAGCCCTGACCTACCACAACCGTTGCGTCATTCGCTGGAAACTCGCCCGACTCTCCCTGTTTGCCTTTCCTTAGCGAGTGTTTACCCCTTGATCTAGTCACCAGCGCGGATTCCTTTACACTCTCACGTTGTTTAGGGAGATCGCTCGCCTCCAGCTCGACCCCCGAACCACAAGCAATAAACCAGCCTCCACCGCGACTGCATTCTCTCGGTGGTTATTTATCACTGGTTCGCCCGCGATCCCGTCCCGCTGTCAGATACTGGGATTCTTTCATGCTTTTGTAGCGTCGGGAAGGCCCATTGTTTCCAGCCTTGACCTGCCACAACCCTTGCGGCGGTGGTACTGAACACACGACGACTGTGACTATCCCCATGCACTCCACGACCCCTTGCACACTGCCCTCATTCCCTCACGACCCACTTCCACTCGCCAGACTCCTCCCGCGACCCCCGTCCCCGTCCTATCCCTTCAACAACCTTAAGCCACGGCACCCAGCATCAGCTTTGAATCCTTGAAGTCATAAGTCCTCGGCGATTGGGAGTTAAGGAGAGGATTGGGGGGAGGGGGAGGGGGAGGCAGGAGAGGGCGAGGAGGGAAGGGCCAGCAAGGAGGAAGGGAGGAGGGTGGAAGGGAAGAGAAAAAGAAGAAAAAGAGAGGAGAGAGGAATGAGGAATGGAGGGAGGAAGGGTGTAGAGGAAGAGTAGAAGGGAGGAGGAGAAGGGAAGGGGAAGAGAGAAAAGAAGGGAGAGAGGAGAGGAGGGGGAGGAAGGGGAGGGGCAAGGGAGACCGGGGAAGGGAAGACGGAGGAGCTTCTGAAGACTGCATATGTCAGGTCCAGATAAATCAGGGATTGTGATGGCGTATAATGAGAATCTGCATTTCTCTTTGATCTGTATGCGAGTGACAGTGCGCGCTTGCCCGCACGCACGTCTGTTTGTGCGGATGAGTGAATGTGTGTGTGTCTGCATGTGTGTGTGTGTGTGTGTGTGTGTGTGTGTGTCTGTGTGTGTTGTGTGCGTGTGTGTGTGTGTGTATGTGTCTGTATATGTGTGTGTGTGTCCGTCTGTCTGCTTGTTTTGCGACTGTGCATGCGTCCGCCCGCTGCGCAGACAAGCACTCTCGAGGCCCTCCTGCCTTCCGCAATTCGAAATCAATCCCTCGCCCCGTCTCCTCTCCCCATTTCCCCTCAGAGGCGGATTCCTCGAGGGGAAACATTAACCTTAGCGCCCCCCATTATCTTGCTGCGCTAAGAGGCTCATTTTTCCTGCATGAGTTTATCTGCATGACGACCTATGTCACCCTCCCCCTGCCCCCTCCCCTCCCACTCTCTCCACTCTCCCCTCTTCCCTCTTCCCCCCTCTCTCCCCTCACTCTCCCCCTCCTCTCACTCTCCCCCTTATTCCCTCCTCCCCTCTCTCTCCCTCTCCCCTCATCTTCTCTCTCTCTCCTCGCGTCTTACAAATCGGCTGATATTGTTTTGTATTTTAATGGATGTTATATCTATATTTAGACATTCTAATTCTCTATGGCGGAAAAGAGTGAAGCCGATAATGCAAATTATAACAGTGATAGTGATGATGATGATAAAGATATTACTAATGATAAAATTTATGGAGTTGCTGCAAATGATATCAGTGATGCTGATATTGATGGAAGTAACAGCGAAAATAATGTTATTATGTCAACAACAATAATGGTGTTTATTAATCTCATCAATATCCTTATCATTATGGATGATCGTGAAAGAATTCCTTTTAAGGCGTCTTGTTTTTGTTTTGTTTTGTTTTGTTTTATAATGGGAAGGGAAAGGACAGGCCTGAAGTGGATTAAGTCATGTGGGGGGAAGGAGGGAGGGAGGTAGACCTGTTATGGGTGTGGAGGGTGGGAGGATGGGGGGGGGGGAGGTAGGAGCGGGGGGGGGGCAAGAGTGAATCATGGAAGACGGTTGGCTTGCCGAGATGGGAAGAATGTGTGTGTGTGTGTGTGTGTGTGCTTGTGTGTTGTGTGTTGTGTATGTTTGTGTGTGCTGTGTGTGAGAGGAGAGAGAGAGAGAGAGAAAAGAGAGAGAGAGAGAGAAAGAGAGAGAGAAGAGCGAAAGAGAGAGAGAGAGAGAGAGAGAGAGTCTGTGTGTTGAACAGACAGATTGATAAAAGCCACACCTCCTCTCATGAGCGCTCGCATGCAGGTGAAAGCCATGTGCAATGAACACTTTTCCCCCCTGCGCTAATTCCTCTCCTTCGCCCTACACCCCGGCCCTCTCTCCCTGGCTTTTTCTGCTCAGTTATACGCATCTATCTACCCCTCTCTCTCTCTCTCTCTCTCTCTCTCTCTCTCTCTCTCTCTCTCTCTCTCTCTCTCTCTCTCTCTCTCTCTCTCTCTCTCTCTCTCTTCTCTCTCTCTCTCTCTCTCTCTCTCTCTCTCTCTCTCTCTCTCTCTCTCTCTCTCTCTCTCTCTCTCTCTCTCTCTGTCTCTCTCTCTCTCTCTTCTCTCTCTCTCTCTTCTCTCTCTCTCCTCTCTCTCTCTCTCTCTCTCTCTCTCTCTCTCTCTCTCTCTCTCCTCTCTTCTCTCCCTCCTCTCTCTCCCTCTTCTCTCCTCTCTCTCTCCCTCTCTCTCTCCTTTTTTCTCTCTTTCTCTCATTTCAGTCTACGTTTATCCCTTCCCTTTCGTTAGAGCTAAAAATCCTTTTCGCACCTCTCACTATTTATTTTCCCTCTCCCATGCCCTCACTTCCTCTGCATAACACTTTCTCTCTCATTTACCTGCATGTTTTTCCTTCTCCCCTCCCCCCCCTACCCTCTTTCTATTTTTTCCCTTCTCTCCTTTCCCCTCTCCTCCTTCCTCCCTTACTTACCCTCCATCCTCTCTCTACTCATACTCCTCTTTTACCCTCTATTTCTTCGTTTTATCTCCCCTTTCTCTTCCCACCATCCATCTTTCCCTCTTCTACACCTCTCCCCTTCCACCCTCTCCTCCCTCTTTTCCCTCCTTATCCTCCTCTCCTTATTTTCTTTCTTCTATCTCTCCTTCTTCTCCCCTTTCTCTCTCTATATGTTTGTTTTTCTTTTCCCTTTTTTCTTCTGTCCCTCTCCCCCTTCCACGCTTTCCTTTCCCTTCTCCATCTCTCCTCCGCCTTTCTCTTACTCACCATCACATCATCTCTTACCTCCATTCCCTTTCCCCTATTTCCCTCTCTCCGTATGCTGTCCCCCCCTCTTCTCTTCTTCCCCTCCTATTCTCCTTCTTTTTCCTTCTCTCTTCTCCTCTTCTCGCCCTCTCCCCCTTTTCTTCTTCTTCTCCTTTCCCTTCCCTTCCTCCTCCCCTTTTTGCAGTTTCCCTCTTTTTTATTCCCCCTTATGCTTCCCCTTTCCCTCTTTCCCTCTTCTTTCTTCCTCCCTTATTTTTCTTCTTTCCTTTCCCTCTTCCCCTTATGCAGTTTCCCTCTTCTTTTTTCACCCTAATCCTTCCCCTCTCCTCCTTTCCCTCTTCCCCTCTCCTTCTTTCTCTCCCCTTATCCTTCCCCTCTCCCTCTCCCTCTTTCTCTCTCCTCCTTTCCCTCTTCCCTTCTCATTCGTTCTCTCCCCTTGTCCTTCCCCTCTCCCTCTTCCCCTCTCCTCCTTTCCCTCTCCCTCTTCCCCTTTCCCTCTTCTTTTCCCTCTCCCTTCCCCTTCCCCTCTCCTCTTTCCCTCTCCCTCTCCCCCTTCCCCTCTTCTTCCTTTCTCTCCCTCCCCCCCTTCCCTCTTCCCATTTTCCCTCCCCTCCTTCCCCTCCCCCCATTCCCCTTCCCCTCTCCCCCTTCTTCTTCCCTCTCCCCTTATCCTTCCCTCCTTCCCCCTTCCCTCTCCCCCAGCACAAGTTATTTCTGGTGTGACCCGCTTTCCCTCAGTCGCTGGTAACCGTCTGCAGATTTAGCGTCATCCGACTCGTGTTCCAGAGGAGGGAGGGGGAGGGAGGAGGAGGGAGGAGGAGGGGAGGGGAGGGGAGGGGAGGAGGGGAGAAGAGGGAAGGAGGGGAGGGGAGGGAGAGGGAGGAGAGAGGAGGGGAGGGGAGGGGAGAGGAGTAGGGGAAGGGGAGGGGATGGGGAGAGGGGGCTCGTACAAAAGCGTAATGTAGAGTGGGTTTAGTTGGAAGTTAAGAGGGGGGGAGGGGAGGGGAGGGGAGAAGGATGTGGTATGTGGAGGAAGGGAGAAAGGGGGATTCGTTGTGTGTTTTTGTGTTGTGTGCTGTGTGTGTTTTGTGTGTGTGTGTGTGTGTGGTGTGTGTGTGTATTTATGTTTGTGTGTGTGTGTGTCTATCTGTCTCCTGCGTATCTACCTACGACTAGCTCTTCTGNACTTTAAAAAAAATTCTTACATATTATTACAAATGGCTATAGAAAAAACTACTTGCTGATATATAAACTGGTAATGATGAAAATAATATAAATGAAAGCTGTTCGGAGTGGTCTCTTTGGTTTGAGATAACTAATATATATAAATAACAGTGGTTTGTATTGGTTCCTATCTATACAGTAAATATATATCCAACATGATGGCTATAATAAAATAAATATATATTTTTTTCTACTGTGCTTAAATAATGTTTTTAGATCTGACGATTATTTAAACAATCTCGCTGTGTCTAGTTTTTGTTACATGTTACGTGATTGGCCGAAGGAACCTAAAAGATTATGTATGGGGCTCGCTGATTGGTTGAAATTGCTTTACCAGAGCCCTACTGTTGGCTACCATTAGAATGAGTCGATTTACGATTGTAAGCATATCCAAATTACCATTTTCTTCTTGAATTGCGCTTTGTCAGACTGGTAAACGCACTGGTAATGGCCGCTGGTAAATGCGTTACGATCGTATGTTAGTGAATCCGGCCCTGGCCTGCCGCTTCATGGAGACAGAAGGGACGCGTACAGGATATAATCGGGCAACCACTCATCTTTTGGCTTTCGTTACGTAGATGATGTCCTCGTCATCGTCCCCAGAAGGTCGGCGAGGCGTCATCTTGGCTTCGTTACGTAGATGGTTCCTCGTCTCGGTCCCAGAGTCGGCAGGCGCTCATCTTTGGATCGTATTACGTAGATGATGTCCTCGTCATCGTCCCCAGAAGGTCGTTTTCTACACCATACGTTGACGCGGCCGAACCCCGTCCACACGAAAATCGGTTCAGCGTGGAGGAGGAAAGTGGATCAGAAGTTTACCTTTCCTGGACACTCTGATCCATTCGGGGTGACGACGGCCTACGTTCTCTGTATACAAAAAGCCTTCGATTTAAGACGATTATATCTATTACTTCGCCTACAGCAGTAAAAAAAACATAACGATTAAAGACGATTATTACTACTATTACTTGCCTACAACAGTAAAACAAACTGGGGTTGTAATTGGCTTCTTCTTCCGGGACTGAGGATTCTGTAGACTGAGTTTCTGAGCTGAGGTTGGCATATGTAATTGATTCTTTTATGCAACATAAATACCAAAAGGTCTCCTGTTAACCTCAGAAAGAAGGCAGAGAGCATACTTGTAAG